GGGTTCCTCATGCTGCCAGAACTCTTCAAGAAGCTTGCGAACTGCCACGATGGAGAACCCTCATCTTGTACGGAGAGGGACAGCCGTTTGACCGACATCTCCTCCTGAACGTAGAATGCTTGATATGTCTTCTGGCAATGCAAAAGCTCGACCGTGACGTCCTCGAAGCGTCGGAGCTGCGCCAAAGTCATCACGCTGCGGCTGTCAACACCTGCCGCCCTGGCTGAGACGTGCTGCCGGAAAGCTCTGCATGCTCTGCACTTTCCATCTACTTGCCTGAGCTGTCGTTCCGACTCCTCGCTCGGGAAAGTTTCCACCTTGCAAGTTTGCGCTTTAACTGCAAAAACCCCAAGGGCAGCTGTACCCAGGAGCAAACCCTACTACAATGCTGACAGGACCCTCGAAAAACTGGAGGCTTTTGGAAAGCTTCAGCAAGTGCAGCGAGCATGCCAGAAAAGCCTTCCACAACTTCTAAGCCTCAAGCAAAAAAACCTAGGATCTTGAGGCCGAGGCCTCAGCACCGCCACCAAGCAACGATTCCCATCAATATGACGGATTCCCTCCAACGCACAGAGCCCGAACAGTTAATGTGTTGACGTTGTGGCATCCACTGGCACAGCTCCCTCGACGCATACCAGCCGAAGAACGAGGAAAACCCTGAAAACGAATCGCAGCAAGGCGCAATATGCCGGAAAACGGCCAAACCGTCTCCAGCAAAGCCAAGGTTGGCGACCAGTCGTACCTTGACTGTCCGTGCTCTATTAAACATCCTAGGCCGCGAGTCCGTCTTCGAGTCGATCATTCAGCGAGCTTGTTGCTTTGAAGCTGCCCAATCTTTGGAAGCAAGACAGCGAAGTGCAAGCCGATTGACCTCTGCAGGCGGCACACGTCTGAGGTTGCAGGGTTTGCTGCTTACCTCCCGAATACCGTCTGCAGGTTGTGTGAAGCACATGTCTCCTGGGCTTTATCAGAGGTACGCATCCTTAGCATTACCGGGACAAAGTCGACATCGAAGCCGCACGGAACAAGAAAGAATGTGCTCAAGGCTGTGCTAAGTCAAGCTGTCAAGCTCCACTCGGCCTTGAGCAGGTCTCCGCCGAGTGCCGCCCCATTCTTGTGCTCATCCATGAAGAGCTCGTGGAGCAGACCCCAGCGGAAGGCAGCGAACGCAACAAATTCACCTCGGCTTCTCGCTTGGCATGGGTTGGCCTGTATTGGCACTGTGTCCGGCATGAGGACAGCACACCCCTAGCGGCCTTCGCCAGATGACAAACGATGATAACCGATGATGGCGGGACCCACCGAAAGACTCCAGACAAGCGTTCCGAGGGACAGGAATCCTGCATAAGCAAGACTATCAAATCCAAAAGATTTTCAAGGATTCCAGAGGCCTCGCGAGTTTGCCTCTGTGCTGGCGAGGCTTGTAACTTGGCTCGGGGGCTAGGCCTTCGGCAAGCGGGCGAGCTGCGAACCGGAAAGGACATGAGAAGGATGCCCCCGTTCTCACATGCAAGACAATCATAATTTTGTCACAGGACAGGCAGGCTTCCCGAACGCTTGAGTACGCGAATGTAGCTATTCAGCAGCTGTCAAGTATGCTAAGCTGGCAAACGCACATGGTACGACTGGCCCGAGGTGGCAGGTCTTCCAACTGCCAAAACGACGATCCGGTTCCTGCAAGAACTAGTCGATGGCAACACCCTGAACAAGCGAAGCCTGCTCAACGTGTCTCAACACCGGACAAGACTAACATATGAAGCAACTGATTCCGCCAGCAAGCGTGCGGCCGCTTGCTGCTCATCTGAGCCTGCAGCACCTGGAGGCACAAAAGGCTGAGAACCAACCAGACTCTGGGTATTCGGAATATTCAGTGCCCACCTGGAGTTCGTGACCAAGAGAAAGCCGGGGCATCCTCTTCTTCCGCAGTTGAGGCCGCAGGTGCAACTTCCTGGGCGCGCCCTGGAGGCTCGGCTAGCAGGTTGTTGTGGCCTGCTCTGGCCACTACCTCAGCCTGTGTCGCCGGTTTGCTGGGTTTGCTCTCAAGCTCCTGTTGTGCAGGGAGCTCTGTATCCTCAGGCAGCCGAAAGGAGGCGGTCTTCTTCACCCGAATCACGGGTTGATTGCCAGAAACCTCTTCAGCCATCGGCGAAGAATCGAACCTTGGGTGGGCACCAATCTGCCCTTGCGCTGGAACAACTGCTGCAGTCCGGTACAACACTCCTACGCGCGAAGTGACTTGCAGACGGGGCACGTGGCCAATGATCGCTAGTATTCCTCCATGGTCTCTTGTGCACACGCCACAAAAGCCTTGAGCACTTTAGCTGCGGGATGCCAGATTAACGATCACGACGTCCTCAGGAAGTGGATCAAAACAGCCAGTGCATGCAAAGTGAATGTCCAGAGTATGACAGCATGAACTTGCAGCTCCTTCTGTGAGGCTCGCCCATGAAGTGCGAGTGGCAGTAGCAGGGACAACTGGTGCGCTTGGGGCGGTGGGAACTGCAGGGGCTGCCGGAGCTTTGGGAGCAACCGCGACCACCGGCGACCTCGCTTTCACGAGGGCCTTGCGCGGTGCTGTTTCAGGTCTGGTCCGCGAAAAGAGAGTCCGCAAGAACGGGTGCGCTGGACCCCGGAAGTCCACGGCCTCAGGAGTCCTTCCAGCCACCTCCAGCAAGGCAGCAACGCAAGGTCCAAGGTCCGCAGCAGAGTGGTTGGGCACGAACGAAACGCATCAGCTCCGGACCACAGCTGACCAGAGCGGCTTCAACTCATCCTTCACAAGCTTGAAAATCTGTTTGCAAAACGTTCCCAAGTTCGAGCGTCTCCTGTGTGGTGGCTCTTGACCTTGCTGGAGCCACAGGTCCTGGAAGGCAGAGCTTCGTGAAGCTTCCCTTCTACCGGGGCACCACTATTGATGGAAAGCCTGGTGACCAACCGTGCTCATGGAAGCCCCTGTGGTGTCTTGTGCCTGCGGGTAAGCCTGCTGCTACCGGTTGTGCCTCGGAAGCTGGCATCAGCCGGGCAAACTTTCGAAGATCCAAATGCAAACAACATGAAGAAGCTGCAGGCCAAGTTTGACACCACCGGCATGGAGCTCTGCTTGCGGTAAACGGGTTTTGCTGCCTGCATGCTTGCACAAGCCTAAAGCTGCACTACCGTGACCGTGACATCTTGTTCTGTCTTGGACCCTGGCAACAGCCTGAGTTGGGCTTGGCCTGACGAAAGCCATCACATGAGGCAAGCGCATGCAATGTGAGCACACGGACTACACACAGGCGACGGCCCAAGCGGAGCTGTAACACTCCTCTGAAACATGATCGGCCTGAGCATCTGTGACATCTTGCACGCAACAGAATGTGTGAAAGAGTTCAGTTACGGGCACAGCGGCATTGACTCCTGCACAGGCAGAGAGCAGTGCCTTACAAATGCTCACGTGTTAGCACAAAGCAAGTACCACCACACCTGCGGAAGACTGGAGCACCTCAGTTTTTAGCACTACCACTCCCACACGCCGAGCAGTTACAGAGTCAGCGACCGCCATTTCAAACACGGCTGCTTCAACGGCCCATCAGGTAAACAAGGGACCGCTGCGTACAGAAACCAGCCTTCTGTTTGTTGCTGGTTCACTGTGCTTTTGACTGAGTGCATGCTGCGACGACCAGATGCAGGAATGAGTGGGGTCTCTGTAGGAGTTTGTATTTGCACCAGCTACTCAAGGACAGCAAGTGCTCAATGAAATCTCACTGTGACATGCTTTCGCGGGCGAGCCCGTCTTGCCAACTACCGGCGGCTGTGAAAGCTACAATCCGAGGAGATGCTTAACTTCAGAAGGCTCCAGCAACTGAGCAGAAAGCACCGACTCGAACGCGGGCACTTTTTCCAGCTGTTCGTCAGGTGGCAATTGTCACATCCAGCTTGGAACGCTTTGCTGCTGGCTCCTGTGCCTCAGTTAAATTGGACCATACGAGGAACAACTGGGCACGACCTGCTATTCTTTTGTATATGCTGTGCTAAGATATCATGTCTCATATTATCCTGCTATGTATATACATATACATATATATATATATATATATGTATATCACATTTTTGGTGGTTACACTTTAGTATGTTATGTGACATGATACTTCAAAAAACTTTCCGCTTGAATAAACTATATGAAATTTTACCCACATATACCGTATATGGGAAACGAAGGTATTGTTGTCTGCTAATTTGGCGTCGTGAACTGTATAGCACATTTGTGTATACATAAATACATGTAATTAGAAGTGTACATTTTTGTCACTCGTGCTCGACAGGTCCGACGAGGTTTGTGGGGAAGCGCACAGAACAACGCGTGTTCACATTAAGTGTACATACAGATGCTTATGGATAGCCTCATGTGCGGCATATAGGTCGTATATACATAAACATGTATCTACATATATGTATGCTCTTATATATACATATATATATATATGTATGTGTGTGTGTGGTGTGGTGTTGCCCACCCTCCCCCCCACTTCGTCCCCCTACCAGACCATACCATTGGGGAAGGGGGGCCGGGAACGCCAGACGCCTGACCATCCATGTATGTGTATATATATATATATATGGCATATATATATATATATATGACATATTCTGTACTGTATGATTAATGTAAAACAGAGTTTATACATGTTGTTTATGTCAAGGTGGTGTATATATAATCCATACATTCTACATTTCGTGCTCAAAATGTGTACCCAATGTATGTTATGCTGCTATGTATCTTTTGGCACTCGCTCTCGCGAAACTCAGGCGAGGTTCAGGGCAAGACAAGAGACATCCCCTCGTTACGAGCGGTGTGAACAGGCGCATTGGCCTCAAGCTAACACCAGTGCGAAAACTCCCGATCTGACTACCTCCTAGAATCCTAGGGGCTTTCTGCGGCTTGCACAAGACACGGAATCTGGGAAATCCGGCTGAGGCACGGGCAGCAACACTTGGCCTGATTGCATCACCCACCCCTGAGCCTAGACAACCCATGTTGGTTTTGATTGATGCTCCCCACGGCCAGTCGCATTGCCACTATGTCCAGCCATGAATGTCCAGGCATCAAGAGCTCCAAGGCCCACACAATGTCGACAGGCCTGCAGTAAACCCATCATGGTTCCATGCCTTGCACAGATTTGCACATCGTTCGCGCCTCCAATTGGCACTCCCATGGCACCATGTAGGTGAGCCTCGTGGCTCACGACGCAACAAGGCTGCATTCTGCAACATATTGCGAAGACACCAACTTCAGGACGTTGCCGGCGCCATCGGACCGGTGTTAATGCCTGGGAAGGGCAGAAAGAGCTGCCGCTTCCGAATTGCAAATTCATTCAACTGGTCCACGTAAATGCCAGGACTGAAGATGGAAAAACCGGGCTTGATCTGCCAGTGAAATGCATTTGGGTTAAAGTTTAAGATCTGCCCTCAGGTCACGCAAATCGGCCCTACGAAACAGATTCCGACCGCCAAGGCCGAGCCAAAGACCCACCATGGGCTGAGCACCAAGGGCCCTGGCATGTCCACACATTTGTTCATGCATGCAGCATCCCGACAGCCAAGTGTCCCCGTTTCTCCTGACACCTTGGAATTCATCAACCCTCGAGCCAGCAGCACTGGGATGAACATGCCCCGCAGCCGGTGCAGCCCAAACTTCGAGGCTGGCTTGAGAAGCCTGCGAGCTTAGCACATCCCACCTCTCTCATGCCAGCCTGAACGACTGAGCCAAGACGCTTGGTTGCGCAGATTGCATGGCCTTCGGGCTCCGAGACATCGCAGGTGGCTAAAGGCTTGGCTGCAGTCGAGGCACTGCATGCGGAGGACCCATCATACCTGGCAGCCTCAAGGCAGAAGGCAGGGACCGAGACTCAGGTGAGCTTGGGGTCCAAAAAAACGAGCTCAAGGCATTGGGGCCATTTGCGTCTGTGTACCTTCTTGAAGGTGCACAGACGGATGCAAACGCGGACACTCTGCGAGCCTTGCACTGGGAAGTGTGGGATGCAACCCATCCTCAGTGCAGCCTCTTCCATCTCTTCCCCTCTTCTGATAAGCCGAGCTGGGCTGAGGAAATCCAAGGCCCAGGCGCTGCTGTGGGACCTTGGCACATCCCCGCTTCCAACTCCGTCGGCTCATTCCTCTTTATCGCGTTATATATATATATATATATATATATGGAAAGGCTTGTTGCTGCCAACAACCTTGCAGCGTTTTCGAATCTGATCTTGGATCATTGTATCAACTACCGTCTGAGTGCAAGCATGGGATGCGCTGGAGGGCTGCGCTTCTCTCGCTTGCCGCTTCTGTGAGCCATCTACACGTCCAGTGGCACAGCGATGTCCCGGAATGCCAAGCGGCGTGCCTCTGCCGTTACCTAACCATGCCCAGATTCCCAGGCTACTTAGGGCCCCAAGAGCGTGGCCAAGCAACGGAGGTCGCTGAGCGAGCCTGGGCAAGGAATGAGAGATGCTGAAAGGTCTACATCCCACCCATGTACCTGAGAGACGTACGCTGGCAGTCCAGAGACGAGTGCGGTTGGCATGAAGCCCATACTCAACCTGAACTCGATTGCATCTTTAAGCAGACAAGGAGGACAGAGGTCTCAGTACTTAAGATTCGCTTTTGGGGCGCACAGGCATATCGGACTCGGCAACTTTGGCCTGTGCTTCACAGAAAGTGGAGGCCTTTCTGCCTGTCATGCTCAGGCGTCCTGCAGACAGACGCGTGCACTTCAGCCTGATTGAACCATAGCCATTTCTGCTCGCGAGCTGTCCTGCAGTGCAGAGCGGCGATGTGCAAGACCTCGTCACGACAGCTCATGATAGCTCGGGACTTCTCAGAAAAAGACTTATCTCAAACAGCAAGGACTCTAGTCATAAAGCACAGACCAAGCAGCTAGGGGGCACCTTGACTGCGTTGGCCAGAGGCCTCTTTGGAGGTCAGGCGGTGTGCTTGCCTGGGAGCCGTAGTGTGAGAAGTGATCTCCCGTCTCGAACAGCATGTAACTGGCAAGCTGCGATGGCTAAGGCCAGCACAGCGCTTGCAGGCTGTGTCACCCCTCTGAGACACGGAGACTCCATGAGGTAAGTCAGTTGTATCGCGGCTTTGTCCGCGATTGCCTTTGCAACTTGGGCTTGCTGCTCCACGAAGCGCATGCTCTCCATGGCCCGAAGGGCATTGGCGACCTCATGTCTCGACCAATGCAGCGCCGCGAAGGCAAGCTGGCCAGGACTGCCAGCATCTGGTTGAGGATAATGGTCGTCAGGATAGCCAGTGCGTTTGAACTCCAACATCAGTTTGAAACGGTCCCGCGGATCTTCGGCCTTGGAAACACATTAGCCAACAAACCTGCATTCCAGACTTGCGACGCTAAAGCTGCGGAACCAGCTGCCTGATGCAATCTGGGTGCTTTGGGCTCCGGCGTCAAAACGCTCTGAGAAGAGCCAGCCTTCCCACCAAGCCCACCAGTAAGGCCACCCACGGCCCCACCCAAAGGGCCAGCAGCTGAAGTGGCGGCACCGGCGGCAGCACTCGCCAGCCCGCCCAGATTCAGAAAGGAGGCACAAGCAGAGCTTTTCCCGATCTTGGGCACCGCTGATGCTGAGGTCAGCCATCCCACACTGCTGAAGTGTTCCGGATCGGTGTAGGTCGACATGGCTCAGAATGATGAGAGGGAGGCAGACTGGCACTGCAAACTGAAGGTGCGCTTTCCAGCTCAATGTCGTGTGAGGGTGAGTCGGCTCTTGTTGTGCGACACATCACATTCGGGCCAGTTTTCCGCTCAACAAGCAGCGCCTTATCTACCCGCATCAATGTGAAGGCCACACGTCTGAGAACCACGCGGTGGGAGCGGTGCACCTGCATGTCACGTGCAAACCGAGATCGCCACACAACATGGTCGCCAAGGCGACTTCCCACCGCTGGCGCGTTATGCCGCACCACAGTTAACGCAAGTTTACCGCACTAGTACAGCAACTGCTCGAGTGTCCTGCTCCTGCTCCTACTTCTGCTGCTGCTGCTGCCTCTACTAACCGTGGTGGCTCCGAGTCGTTGAAAAGGAGAAATATGAAAGGTATTCCTCCTACAAGTACAAGGCATAGCACTGGCTGGCCGTACTTTGGCATGCCGGCCGTTTTTGTGTGATGTGCCGACATGTCATGTCTGTTGCTGAGGTCAGACTTGAAGAGGCGACACACCAACTCAGCAATCTGAGCATGGTGCAACACAGCGCTGCAATCTTTACCCAGAAACCCCCACTCATCTTTGTTAGTCCACGTACCGCCTGCTGACCTACTACACGTACGAGGTCGTGTCAATACCGCCGCCCACATTTGAGATTCAAAGAAAGATAGCCTATTAGTCTGATGCAGGGGTTTGGGATCCTTACTTGGAGAGTGTGTGCCAACGACTTACATGCATACCGCAATAGCCACACTCAATAGCTCACCTGCCAGCGCTGGTCCCATTGGAGTGTTTAAGGTCCTGACTTCAAGCACCACAACTCGGCTCAATCAGGTCTCAAGTATCCTAAGACCTAAGATTCTGAGGCAACCGCTTCTGCTCCAGCAGTTTCTGCTCTGGTTCAAGCTTTCGCACCACAGCCGCTTCCAGGATATCCTTTATGCGGTATTGCGGAAGCTGTCTCTCAAGCTAGTCTACGTCTACGTTATCTCGGTGCCTACTGCAACGAAGTTTACTTGAAGCGAGGGACAGTCACCCGGCTAGGCAAGTATGCGCCGTGCAGCACGCCAACGGACGCCTGGGCGCGTGCAATTTTCTACGACTGTGCCAAATCCAGTCACTAGCTCGAGCGCGGCCCTGTGACGCTGCAGCACACCGGGCACTGTGCCAGAGCTTGCACTGCAAGGGAATGGAGACAGGCCTCATGCAGCTGTCTGCATTGTGCAAACCCTGCTGATGGAGCAAGTAAGCTGGTAGCCAGTGCAGTCGGCACCTCCTGGCCGATGTTGTACCTTTGTCTGGAAATATTTTTTTGCAGTCAGGGTTCCCACATGCCCCCAGGCTGCCAAAGATCGTTGAAACTGTCACTAGATGTGCGATTAGACGTCGCCCCCATGTTGTCACAAGAAGCCTCTTTTGCCTGCATCGGCAATTGTCACTGCAGCTGGGTCTTTCTGGAACGTGTCGCGACCATTCCCACTCGACGTCCCGCAGACAAGGTTCTTCGAGAGGACTGCGTGGATTTTCTGTTGGTCACTGCACTGCCTCACGACTCCCCAAGAGGAGCCACACATGCCACACGCACAAGCATGCATATGTCACCTGCAACAAAACATGGGAAGCGAGCTGCCTGGAAGACCAGCGGCAGGTCGTCTAGCCAAAACCTCTTCGAACTGCTCTTCCACGAAATCCATAAACTCGGCCATGACAACAGCTTGCCGCCGGATGTCGTAGCTGATGCCGACCAGATCAATCGTCTTCGCCTGCGCCGAATCGACACCAACCAACTTGCTCCGATCACGCATGCACTAACTTGTCAGAATCGCCTGCCCCTTCAGCCTCAAAAGGCCATCCACAAACTCCTGCCAACGTTTGCAGTATGCAACAACCAGCAACAAGACCGCTGGGCCTACAGAAATAAGCAAGACCCTTCCACGCGAGCACCTCTATCGACAACTCTCCGCTGCCATCTGTATCCAACAGTTTGAACATGCTCCCGGTGGACTCGACTGTGATGTCCAGATGGGACAAGTAGGCTTGCATGTCTTCGCGACTCAGAAGAACTTCCAGCTGATCAAAGGTTATGCTTTCTTCCTCTTCGACGTCCACGTGCCCGAACATGGTTTTGAAGGCTTGAATATGATCCTCCCGCAAACGGATCTGGTCCATAATGACTTGATCTTTGTCTGCTTGTGCCATCTCAAATGCATGCTCGCAGAAAAAACCTGTCACCACGTTCGCCATGCAGAAAAGCATGAACATAACATAGACCAACAACCTTGGCAATCTCGACATGCTTGCAAGCAGTTTCTCCATGCAAAACTAACGACTCAGACCAACAACTGGCATCCCAGTGCTCTTGCGTAGAGAAGATGGCAGGGATGTGTTTGAAAGTGCTACAGGCAGACTAGCCCGTTACCCCTAAAGAACAGCCGACAGAACTCACTCTCCCGACAGTTTCCTTCTTTTTGCATCATTGCGTAACAGCCTGGACGTCTGCACTTCGGCGACGCTGGCGAGGCAGCGCATCAAAAGTCTGATCATTTCGTGACGCTCGGACCATCCACAAGGACAACACAATGAAACAAGAACGCAACTCTACACTGAGACTCGGCAACGGACAGGGGCTAAGACGCGTCGAAGCCCAGACGTTTCGTGTAAGGAGCAAAATGTCACAATGCACAGGTGCGGAAAAGGCACGGTGCGAAAGTGAAAGACTGAGAGACGTGCCACAGAAGGTGGCGACGAAGGAAAGGGTCAAAGTGCAACTGACCGCTGCGAGCCGATAGCTACTCACCATGGGTTGCCGCTGCGTCCTCCAAATATACCCGAGGAAACTTGGACATGTTCGGGCGGACTCGTCCGATACCTTGAAGATGTGTACTTCGTTCAAACACTCCGGTGGTCGGAGCAAATGATGATCGAGCCGCGCCCGGGGCTTCGGCAGCCTGGGCCCTCCAAATGCACCAGCAGGGACCGGAGTGTGTGGACTTCGTCAAGCCAGCTCAAGACTGAGCTCTGGCGACGCCTCGTGCACAAAGCAGTCTCATCGCAACAATGGCCGAGCCCGCTCCACACCGACCATTCGCAAGGCTGGATTTGCAAAGGTTCCGCCCTACGTTGTAGCGCTATAGCATCCTCGGCAGCCTGGCGCATGCAAACGGCAGATTCAAGTTCTTTTGTCATCGCAAGGAACCCAAAGCAAAAGTGCTGTTTGCAGCAGAAACACAGAAGCACAACAGTAAGCTGCGGAACTGCTCAGCGTGCAATGTTCTATATGCTTTTGAAATTTGTTTGTCATGTTCGGAAAAAAGCATTGGGCCCTAAATTGGGCTCGTCAAATCAAGGTAGAACAACGGACACCGCAAAGAGCGCCAGTGACGCTAGCGCTTGCTGGGGCCTGTCTGTCTTTGGCGCGGTCGAGAAGGCATTGGACATGTTGTTTCCAGGGCTGTACTCGGATGCATGCAGGATTCATTGCACTCGTCCGCACAACGTGAATTGCACGGAACACAGCCAGACTCTGGGATGATGCCGATGATGCTACACATCAAAGGATACGTGCGCACCGTTCCCCCTCCAAGAACAACAACGGCAGATGGGATGGGCTGTGCTGGGCTGTAATGGGCTGGGCATGGGCTTGCTGTGGCCAAGTTGGTGGCCAAGCCCGTGATCGGCATGCGCTAGGGCTAGGGAGTGGGGGAGCCTTGTGGAATGCTAAGGGAGCACAGGCGAGTGACAAGCAGTGCAGCGCGGACACCGCGGGGGAATGTCCGGCAAACAGGCACAGCAGGCACCGTCGCTGGCAGCTCAGGCAGGGGCATGACATGAGGCAGCCAAGAACCGAGGCGAGCAGAAACAACAGGAGTGCGGGGCAAAGGGCAGTGGCAGGCAGACAGGGTACTAGCAATACCATATGGGGTAGGAGACAGAGGAGCAGGGCGAGAAGAGGGGCAGATAGCGGCAAGACGTGTTGGGGAAGGAGACTCGTGCAATGAATTCCCCAAAAGAATTCACAGGCGACCTTGAGCCCATTCGAAAGCTTCAGGCTGAATCACACACAACACATGACCCCCAGACAGCGGGGAGCAGGACAATCGATTCCAGGCTAAGCATGGACCCGTTTGGGGGGTCCCCTTGGCCTGGACACTAAACATCCCAACCTGAGCCGGTTAACATACCGATACCCTGAGCCATCTTGAGCTCCTCACTGATGTGCGCGATGGCTCACGGATTGCAAACTCGAGATGGAGTGGAGCTGCAAGCTGCTTACAAAGTGCTAATGCCTCGCAGCTGAAACAACATCATCGGTGACCTGACCTAGAGTTCGTATACGATGGCGACATGACTGACAGTGTCTCCGCTCTTTGTGCTGGGAAGGAAACCCAGAAATTACGATGAGCGTAGTTCAGACAAGATGCAAAAACAAGTACAGTGGTCCCACAGGAAGAAGATCCGCAGCCTGAGACTGCGCAACTCCGGCCGAAATCACACGGACGCTCACTAGGCAACACCGACGATGCCGCCTTTATGCTTGAAGCATCTCCGACTGAAATCACTGTGCTACTGTTCAGCTCAGGCTGCTGGTTCTCCCCAGCTCACGCCGCCTGACACTGCCTTGAACAAAGTGTAAGCTGTTCGGGCGATCGTGCCGAAGTCTTCCCAAAGTCGATCCCTCTGCGCCTGGACGTGAGGGTCGAGCTAAGGCAGCTAAGGGGACCTGAAACTGCATCTACCGTACTTGGGGAGGAGGGCCGCTGGCGCAGCAACGTCATGATCCGGAGCAACTATGAGCAACTCACATGCTCATCACATTTCGTGTCCGACCATCGACCGGAAACCCCGAAACCCCAAGAAGCATTTCAGCCAAGAGACGGTGGGTTCGGGCTGTCGCTGCAAGTGCTCCGAGACGGCTGCTGTGATGCCAACAGAGAAAAGATAGATAATGATGACCATCACAAGGACGGTCCAGAAAAGAGACGTCAAAGTGTGAAGTATGGTGTAAACCAAGGTTCGGAGCTGCCGGAAGAAGCGAGTCACCCGAATGATCCGAGCCACTCGTATGATTCGCGCGAAACGCGCTACCGACAGGGTCGCAGTGCTGTCCCTTATGAACAGGCTGAGCACAATCTCAGCTGTGGAAAATGACACGATCAGCGCATCAAACAGGTTCCACGGCTTGTCAATGCGATCTGAGAAAAAGCGACCGCCATAAGCCAGCATGCGAATGGCGAGCTCAAGACCAAATAGCAAAGCAAACAGGATCTGAGAGGTGCGGAATGCCGTGGAGGATGCAGGCACCACATTGTTTGCCACGAGCTCCACCTCAAGCCCAATACTCACCGCATTGATGACAATAAGAAAGGCCTTAGCGCATGGCAAATGTCGACATTCCAGGTATTGTAATCGGGAGGATTGAGATTATTTGCACATCAATGTAAGATGTCGACACAAAGGCGATCGAACCACTGGCTCTTGACAATCTGCAATGCCAAGTTTTCACGTTCGGGTTGCTCTTGGCACTGTCCTTCCAGGAATTTTGAAACCGCTGATTGCAAGAAGCACCCCGCGAGGCTGAAGAGACATTTGCAACTTGCACTGCTTGCATCCGCAAGGAATCTTGCACAGGCCCCGTCCTAATGTGGCAGAGGAGGACCTCACCATCAGGCTTGGCAGCTTAGCAAATTTAGACTTGGGAATATCTCATGGATTTTGACGCTGCCCGAAGTCAGGACATCAAGCCCACGCTCAGCTCGCCACTCGGCTTTGATTCCCACTTTTTGCGTCAAGTTCTCGTCGAGGAGCTGCCACCTGCGGCCCTGCACTGCAGAGATCGGCCTGTGGCCTGGGTTGCCTGGGTTTGCCTGGTTCCGACATGCCGGCAACGAGCCTGGTTTCTGGACATCTGCTCTTGATCCTGGGCATCTTAAACCCTAAACGACAGCGGCTTGCACAAGTCTTAGTAATGCCCAGGGGCCGTGGGCGAAGGGGCTTCTGCAACTTCGATAAGAAGTTCCGCCTGCGATTTGTGTTTCTCCCCTGCGCTCAAACCATGCGCCATGCAGGCCTCACCGCCAGAAACCAGTGGCAGCCTGCACTCCATGCTGTCATACAACATTGACATGAGCTCCCGCTTGAGTCGCAGCTTCCCATGCCGCACTTGTTGGGTCCAAGCATCTTGACCGTGCTAGCACGTCCAGCTCGCATTGTCTCGGGGTCCAAGGTAAGGCTGCCCAGCAAATTCTCGGAAACAGGTGCTTCCTCATGGAAAACGAAGCAACAAGGCAAGATACAAAAGCCGCTTGTCTTCCAGGACCTGGCCTCAAAAAGTGAGATCTGGATGGTGTCGCCCTTGAGTTTGTCACGCAGAATTCCAGCCGATTGAGGTGCCGCATCCCTTCCCACATCCAGATAACAGGAGTCCGATCCTCGGCCCGCAGCACACAATCCACGCAGTTTTGCTGTTAACGGGCGGCTTGCTACCAACATCGCCCCAAACGATGCTCAATACAAGCCAGCGGCCATGACCTTTGACTTGGCAAACGCAAACACCTTTGCATTCTGGCAGGACGTCGTTGGCATTTTTGAGCGTAACCTGCATCAATGCTTCAAAGCTTCACTCTTCTGGAAGGGCATGAAGCACCAGGCCACCGGATTCGATTGGTTTTCCGGGCTCGAAGGCTTCGACCCTACTCACGGCTTGAGCAGACGCCTCTAGACCCCTTCACCCTGCAGTCCTTGCCTTAGAGTCTGCTGCCTTCGGGGCCCCAACGGGTGCTTCGTCACCGTTTAGGAAACGAACGACAAAAGCGAATTCGGTCTGACACACCACTCTCCAGTCCATTCCTGTCTGCGCCAATCACCATGCCGTCCCGACCCTCAGTACTCGGGAATATCCTGGGGCGGCTTCTGCAAGTGTTTTCCAGGAAGCTCTTGCACCAATGGACTCCTTCGTGGCATGAGTTTGGCCTGGCTAACCCATACTGAGGCCGATGCGGTGCCTTCCTTTCTGTCCCAAAACTTTGCTTGGAATTCCATGGATTCACATGTTGAGTTGACCAATATACATCCAAATAATATTGCATCTGTTTGTGACATCTGGATCTTGCGCAAAGCCTCCGCCATGCGGTTCATTGGGATCGCCATGGTTCACCCACCCATGCCAATCGGGGTTGTCAACACAACGAGCCCCACCATATGACGTCGGCAGTTCTGGTAGCTTAATGAAACGTGGACCCACCTTGCCTTTAGGCCCTTTAGGCTGCGAATTTCCTTGCTAAACGCCCGTAGGGTGACAGCTTCGTCCAGCAGTTCTACGACGCCCTGATTCGCCACAGTAGTTTGGAGCGCTGGCTGCAATCCCCAAGACATGCAGTGAGTCACCCATGAACACCGAAAAGTCAAGCCCACACTTGCCTCCGTGACACCCCTCCGCGACCCTGCCTGCCGAAGAGCAACCACTCTGCATGTGGACTTCGCTGACACACTGACGGATGAGCTGCATGCTTCTTGAAAAGTTTGATGGCCTACTAGCTGCGAATAGTAACTTTGGTGGCACAGGGGGCTCACCTGAAAATCCGATGCCGAAGGGAGCTGATGCCCACGTGCATCCGCATGAGCGTGGCAAGACGCAAGTGCCACACCCCCCCGACACATTGTCTCATATAAAAACTTGTACCAGTACATTGCAGCCACTGCATGACATGTCATGTGGCCGTGACCCCGGTCTCCCCTTCAATAGGAATGCCACACACATGCACACACTCTCTAACAAGGCCGGTGCACTGATTATCACTGAACTGCTGGAAACAAGCTTGCTGCACTGTTTTGACTGCAAATCTACACCTGAGGCACCTCCAGACATGCTCGTGTTGGCTAATCGTTCACCCAGGGGCAGCTAGCCAATCTTGACAAAGGGGCCGTGTCTCTGTAGGAACGCTTTGCCAAGCGCAGGGCTTAGCCTAGGAATACCGAACCAACGAGCCGTTGTTTGCAGTTCATTCGGTTACATCCTGATGCATGACTGGGGCTTCGTCGCACCAGGCCAAGTCATGCATCCCTGCATTTTCGTTTTCAGCATGGGCGGGGATTGTGTGCCAGCAAACAAACCCGAAAGCCGGTGCTATGGGGGAGAAAGTTACACACACACACACGCACACTCAGTCACTACCTGAACCTGAAAGTCTGACACTCCACTAAAATTGCTCTCCAACGTTCTGCCGATGCTGTGAACCGGGGAGCGTATATTTGGCTGTCACTGTTTTTTGGTTCTTGACACAAGCAAGAGCGCAAAAGAAAGAAACCAAGGGATGGACGCGGAATCAGTGAAAGAAAGAAGAAAAGAAAGAATGAATGAACGAATGAATGAATCAAACATAGGAGTGATATCATAAGAAGGCAGTGGAACAAGGGAAAGAGAGAAACACAAACTGAACTAAGAAACAAACCAAGGGAAAAGGAAGCCAGAAGCAAGGAGAAACAAAGAGTGCTTTACTGAAAGAAATAGAAAGAGAAATGAAGAAGCAATGACGAAAAGAACCGGAAGGGTAGAACAACAGAAGAAAGGATGCCATGCGGAAGGAACCACGAAGAAAGCAAAAAGGAGGTACAGAATAAAGAAGGAATGGAACGAAAGCAACACCGAAGAAAGAAGGACTGAAATACAGAAAGCTGGAAGTCACAAGCTGCAGGGAAGTTCAAAGAACGAGCCAACTAAGACGGAACATCTATCGCAAACCACACCGAAGAAGGGAACAAGGAGACGCAGAAAAAGGGAAACAAATGAAAGGGAAGAAAGGAACCGGAGGTTGCTGTGCGGAACACATGTTGCAAACTGCTGCGCATACGAGCGTTATTGTTATCATTATTCTTGTTACTGTATTTGTAGCAAACAATGTTGTTCTGACCGGTTCTGTTATTGCCAGTGCTACTAGTAGTGTTGCTACTAGCACGACTAGCACGTTTAGTACTTTGATTGCTGTTCTTGCTTGTTGCTATTGCTATTGCCACTATTACTATGTCTACTGCTCTTTCTCTGCCCCCAGATAATACATGCACTAGTATCAGCAGCAATAGTATTGCGGTATTGTGCTTGCAAAAGGGGCGGGGCTGCACCCCTCGACACCCCGCAACCCACCGTTCTTTTCAGATGTGCAAGCTTGCGTTGACACATCATACAGGCATGCTGTTTGGAAATGATGGTGGCTGCGCCACCGCATCCCCTCCCCATGCAAGCTTGCTGTCCGGAACATCTATTATGGCAACTTCTTACTATTGCTATTGTTGTTGCGTTTATTCTTGTTTGATGAACACTTTCATGGGTAGGATGCTGCTACTTCTTACTGCTATCGTGCCTGCTAGCATCGTGAAAACTTGCGCACGATGGATACGATCATTACTATATTGCTTTTTGCTAGTGTTGTTACTAGTACAAGACCGCTTCATGTGCGGCTATTGAGATTCTTATGATTGCCTTGTTTAGCAAGGTTGCTATCTTTGCGTGGCCGTTGATATTACTACTAAGTTACTACTAGCGCAATGGTTACTCTCCTATGCTGCTGTTCGTCGTCCCACAACTTAAAAGTCAGTACTATCTTTACGAGCATCTTAACTAATACTTTAGAAGCTGCCCCCACCCTGTAAGTGACTATAAGGATTATATAGGATTGTATTAGGGCCCTACTGTAATATATTCCTATTATACCACTATCACAGGGTGGGGGCAGCTTATTACTCCTGTTACAGCACGTACATGTACGTGAAAGCATTCAAACACGATATAGTCAACATCCTATGAACTCCGTCGGAACCAATGGAATCATCTGATTGAACCGATCAGATTCTGGAGAGAGTTCGAAGTTTTCCGGGTCTGGCAAACTTGGGAAGCCCGTAAACCCAAAAATGGACACAAAGAGGCCAAAAGTAGTACACAAAAGGCCGAACAGAAAACGAGGCTATTCAGGACCACCGAGTAATGTTCCGAAACTGAAACCCAGGCGAGAAGCAAAACAAACAAAGAAGTGACACAAACAAATTACAAAACAAATCCTCGCTCCCTGTGAACGTCACAGGCGCCTCGACATGTTCGATCCATTTCGTATCGGAGACCGTCCCCGGGCTGAAAGCCTGTACTTTGGCTGGGCCGTACTGAAGGGTGCCCCGACATCGTTCAATGAGGCAAGCACAACACCGAGGCAGCTCGCCGGCTGGTGCTTGCTGGCCAGAAACTCTCGTAAGAGCTCCTGTCAATTCAAAAATCCCCAAACCAAAACAGCAGAGCGCTGCAGCCCCCGGCCTTGAGCTCGGCACAATGTCGATGCAAGTAAGCGTCCAGTTCCTCTGAAGAGTTAAGATCAGCCACATTCATAACTCCTGAATGGCCCTGGTTCACTCACGGAGTCCTGATCGAAAAAGACATCTCGTTCGGAGGACCGCGGCGGTGCATCTTCGGCAACCTGGGCACACGACTCAACACAGTACAGGCGCGTCCATATTCATGCAAGCATGGACGCATCCCGAGAGCACTCCACCCTAGTCGCACTAGTCACAAGTGTTACCACACCGTTTGTGGAAAAACAACACGAGAACCTGCCGCTCGCCCGGCACGGCCATGTCGTGCGCATCTTTGGAGCGAGACCCGTGGCCCATGGCATCCATCTAGGCATGCAACTACATGCAGCTGAACATGACAGACTGCAAGCCGCAACAGCTGTGGAGGAACACAAATCAGCAGGGTCCATCAACTTCACATTTGCTTGCGACAAACGCCCTGGGTTCGAGGACGATCCATTCGTGTCTGCTGGTCCTTCAACCAGGCATCTCAAGGCCTGCAAGGCAAATCAAGTGACCAAGAGGAAGTCGGAAACGTGATGAAGGCATCACAATACTGAATGACTACATACGCATGATAATGATTCATAAACATCACAAGAAAACTAGCATCAGCTTTACTGATTAGACGCGGGTTTTCCAATGGGCACTTCAGAAACTCATAAGACATGGCCAAACAAACAGGCTTACCTCGCGGCGAACATATCGATCGCAAACAAGTTAGCTGTAGATGCTAGTTGAGGGAACACCGGGAACACCCCATGGTATCGACTTGTGCTTTCCCCGAATGACAGGGAATCGAAATGTTCCTCCCTCGAGAAAAAGAACTGTAACAGCGCAACAATGCACATCTTGAGCTGCCAGCTATCATCCACAGCCTTACAGACGTAGTAGTGAAGACCTAACCTCCGAGCTCCAGGCCACGGGAAGATCACCAGCGTCTGCCTTGATTGCAAAAAGTTGATGCCAATGACTGTGCGGAATCATGCGCACAGTCGCCTCGGCTGCCAACCTCAGTCCACAACACAAACATACTTGCAGTCTTCGGATTCCGCCGAATTTCCGTTCAGCGTTGCATGATGAGCCCCCGAACCATACTGGATGTGAAGATGGACCTGTTCCCGACCCCAGCAGCAGGAGCTCATCATGCACCGGAGAGCCAAGGCCTGTCAGGTCCTGGCTGTGACCAACCTGGAACCAGCTGACTTTCGGGCAACACTCCGAAGACAAGTCCGGGTGCTTGGCTGGTTTTGCGGACGAGGGCCTTCACTGCAGATAAACTGTCGGTGTCCGCCGACAAAGCCATGAGCAAAGTGCTGCGAACCGAAGCTGAGAACGTCACTCGGAGTTGCGAGTCTCCGACGACGGCCGTTTCGGCCTGCAGCAGCATCACGAGGTCAAACAGTCCGAGCAGGAGCAGAAACTGGCATTACATGTTCGGTTCAAGTCAAGAATCAAGCTTGCCGATCACAAATTCCAGGAGCCGATAAGCTGATAAGCCCGGATTTGCTACACAGTCGAAACTCGAAACCGTTCAACCGAGGGACGTACTCTTTGTCCGATGGTGCGTCAGTTGGACCTAAGGTCTACACAAGACTCAGCACGAAATGTGCCTGATGTAGGTGGCTACATAACCACTGAACATGCCTTGAAATGTGTTCTTGCACCTTGCATCAGTGGTTTGGGTGCAGAAAGGAGGCGGGGGGGATGATGGCCTGGCCCATGACTTGCTTGCTGATGCCGGTGTCCACTGCAGTTGCGTCGGGAAGCCAAACGTTCAGCGCATGCAACACTACGCCCGAGTCGCGTCAAAAAGCTGCATTTTGTCCGTCTTTCTCTTTGCATTGCTACCGCGTCTCAGCAAACATCGTTGCGCTCATACTTGCGCAGCGCCAGCCAAAATCATAAAGCAGCTATCTGCAATTCATTCTTACTTGTTCATAATGGACATCTTCTGCAGGGACGGATGAACTCCAGGGAGGAGGCTGTTTGCATCCGCTTTGCCTCTCGCACCTGCATGCGTTAATGCCACATGCCTGCAAGCAGGATTCCGATCACCAAAAATGTAAGTCTGCCACCTTTTGGTCTGCCTGTGGCCTGTGTCGATGCAGCTTCGTGAGGATGTGTGGCGCTTATACTGTTGGTGATTCGCCTCGGGCTTTGCCGCTTCATCATCGTCGTCTGGGTCGTCTGCCCGCAATCGTTGAAGCCTGCGGCACCGCAAACCACTCCGCTTGCCAGATCATGCTGGCAACAATCTTGTGGACTGGCCGACTTTCATCGCCTCTCTTCCAGGATGCCTTTCGGAAGGCCGTCCATGCCTATCCAAGCTTGCGGGATTGAATACAGCCCAGACCCAACCAAGAAATGTACAGGTATGTCGCGGGCCACGCACATCAACATCTGGATTTTCCCGGCCAGTCCTCAGCTGCAGCAAACATGCAACCTAGCTTGACCATGAATCTATGAGCATTCAACATAAAACTGCACCAAGCTTGCTGCATGGAGTTGGGGACCTCTTTCAAGCTCTTCTTGAAGGCATTCAGCCTTGCCGGCAACAAGCCAGAAGCTTTCCAAGCACCAGCATCACACAGAAACCAAAACTTCTGGCAGCGCGACATGTGCACTCGCAGCCCGGTAATTGAATCAAAGGTACCTGAGAAAATCGGCAAGCAAAACAAAATAAAAATTGAAAATCCGTTACGGATCGGACAAATGCTTGGTTGCTGTCAAGCATCGGCCACTCTCTCTGCAACAGAAATGTCGAAGTCCTGACAGAAAGGCATAAACAGGCGACGGCAAACCTAGACGAGTTCGGTTACACAGTCGCACTGAAGATAATGAGGAAGCCGCGCTGATGATGCACCAACGACTTGACATCATCGAACCTGCAGAGTCGCTCAGGTGCATGGCATCAAGCTCGACTCATGAGCTTGCAGCAGTGCTTTGAGTCAGTCGCTCGCCGTCGCAATAGTAACAGAAATAAACACCATCACCAATGTCCGCCTGCGAAAAGAAGCCAGACGAGATAAACAAACTCACGTTGGCGTGCCTGGACCGTCCCGAGCAGCTTTTTGCGCCCACCCATGATGCTTCGACCGACTTGCTGCGAGAATATTTACGGCAATTTACTGCAACGAGCATAGCCAATGTCGAAACTGTCGCTGTTCCATTGAACATGCCCTCTGAGCCAGTGAAAGCCCCAACGCGAGGGAGTAGCTTTCTGTGCTGCCAGCCGCTCTGTTCATGACCGTTGCCGGGGAGACTTTATCCGCGATCGCTCGCCAGAACGTGCACTCGTGCCAGCCTTCCGCTCGAAGGACATTGCGTGCCAACGCTGCCCTGCGAAAACACGCCACATCCGCTACTTTTGCCTCCGGTTGGACGCACGTCTTGGCTAAAGCCGGGACGCGCTCGAGGAGTGCGTTGGTCCATGCCGCCCATTACGCTGGCGGCGCAGTTCGAACCGCGCTCGTAAGGCGTTAAATCGCTTTGTACAAGGGTCACCACGGCTCGTGCACCGTCTCCTACGCTAAACGCGACAGGCCTACCTGCAAGGTCCGCCAGTCGGCGTTGTCATGGATCTGCGCATCGCCCGCAATGTTAAGCAGCCATATTGTGCGCCGCGCATAATTGGCCTGCGCGATGCACACGCAGCGAGAACGAGGCTCATCATACTTGTTCAGTGCCCATCCGGCTTTCCGCCCATGTGCTGTGCACTTTGCCCGTTCGAGTCAGAGAGTACAGTCCTATAAGGAAATGGGTGACAGGTGGGATCAAATCAAGGTACATCATCCTTACAGAATTGGATATAGCGGTGTCGTAAAGAGTGCCATTCTGGCGAATCAGCGACATCATGCCAAGCGTCTGCTAAAAGAAAATGTGCACGACCGAAACATCTCAGACCGTTTCGGAGGTCTGCCAGGCTTTCTCTTCGACTGTGTTGCGAAGTTGTTATGGCGAGTTGGATTTCAGCTCGTGGCAAGTAACGGCCAAGCATTCTGTTTGACAATACGGGCCCCGAAACTGTGTTGTGCGCTGCGATATACTTCCGACCGTGTCGTCACCGGAGTGCACATTGAACTCTGGACTTCATACGCCGCATGGTGTCAGACCAAACCTCACTGTCACCCTCGACACGATACCAACCGACGATGGATCTCAGCATTTTTCTTTGCAACGTATTCATTTCTTCCAACTGCCTTTTGGTAAGGGGGAGGCTGCCAAGACCAAACAAAACCGTTGGTGTCATGACTGCATTGAACAGTTGTAGTCGACCTTTCATTGAAACGTGTCGATTTGTCAGAACATAAAATAGGAATGGAGGTGGTCGATGGGTGTGCCAAGAACTACCTACCACGCCGCTCGGAGGATGGGTTGTCTCGCCCACCACACGTCAGCGCCCAGCTCAGCCGTGCCAAGTGGGAATGCACCTCCGGTATGGTTTTTTGCTTGGGCTTCCCCCACGTTTCTGTAGGACGGATCCTTAGATGATGCTACTAGCGCGAAGCAGACGAAGCGCGAAGTGTCGAAATGCCGGTTTTTTCCTGAAGCTGCGGTGTTTGCGGCGGCGGTTTTGTACAACCCTTCCAACGAAGGAGAAAGTGTCGTCGTCGTGCTTGCGGCGGTGCGAGAGGGAAAAATACATTGCTATGGCGGCGCAGCGTTGTACGGAATTTTAGGGTGTGAGACACGGGTGGGGCAGCAAATGCCTCGAGAAGCCCTCTCGTGCACAAGAGGTCGTTTTGCTGAAATGGGATGCGTGTGCAAGTCTCATCCTCGCATGAGATTTTCATGTGAAGCCTTCTTCAAGCTCTCAAACGGGGTGAAGTAAGTCGTTAAACAGCTCCTCGCCGGCAGCACCCGTGCTGCCTTACGTCGAGTTCTGCTAAGTCGGGACTTGGCGGACCAAACCGACGCGGTGCTCGACAAAGCCGTACGACTTGCCAGGCAAGAAGTGGGAAGGAGGCGGCCCACCAATCTCGAACAAAAGCGTTCCGCTTTCTCAGCTGCACTCAGCGGGCTTGGAGGCTTGACGCAGCCATACGAAATTGATTGGGAAATCGAAGATTTCAGATTGTGGTCATGTGCGACCCAGGGCACTTAGTCAGCGACGCGTCTTCCATGCTTGTCAGAAAACGAAGAGGCCTGGCAACAGTCATGTGCAGAATTGCTGGAAGCATTGCGAGCAAGCCAGACTTGGCCGCTGGCTAAATGGCGTTTGAGAGCTATCGGGATATGCTGGTTGTTGGCAGTTCTGTGCATCGTTGCCATCCAATACGGGACTTGGACTGGTCGCCAGCGACTCGGATTGGTGTGCGGCACTG